GGGGGGGGGGAAATTAAAATATAAAATGATGTAGTCTCTGAGAACAATATGTAATTGAATAGCTCAAGGAAATGTAAAGTTAAAGGAGAATATGAGTGTTATTGATAAATATCATCAGAGACATTAACAATTTTTAAAGATGTGGGAATTTGAAGTTCATTCTTTAAAAAATCTTGCATCTGGGGACCAGCAGTTGGTGTAACGACTACGTCGCAGAACTCCCTTGTAGTCGACCGCAGCTCGAGTTCTGAACCCGGTGGCTTAAACTCATGCCAGGCACGTGTGAGTTCATGCCCAAGATCCTGAGAGGAGAATGAAGGAGAAGGGATTGCGGGGTGGCCATCCCCCCCTGAGGGGTCATTTCTCTGCTTTCTGTCTCTCTGTCTTTCTGGTGAGCACACGTGCCCTATAGCAAATAACTCTTCAAAAAAAATCTTCATTTGAACTAAAATATTACTCCCTGATATATATACCAAAATGAAGTTCAGTTAATGTACAGATTTTTAAAAAATTATTTTGGGGACCAGCAGTTAGCATAATGGCTATGTCGCTGGACTCCCACGTAGTCGACCTCGGTTCGAGTCCCAGACCCAGTGGCTTAAAACTCACGCTGGGCGTGTGTGCGTGCGTGCCCAAGATCCTGAGAGGAGAATGGAGAAGAAGGGATTGCGGCGTGGCCATCCCCCCTGGGGGATGATTTCTCATTTTCTGTCTCTCCGTCTCTGTCTGTCTGGCGAGTGCACGCACCCTATAGCAAAAACCTCTCAAAAAAAAAGAAAAAGAAAAGAAAAAAAATATTTTGACTGGTTTAATAAAGTCTCACTAATTTTACAGTGAGAAGAAAATAAATGTTGAATCTTAAAGTCATTTATTTAAAAAAAGTCAGTTCCTAAGTAATAACTTCACTCATTTCATAGAAATAATTATTCTTTTAAAGGAAAGTTTTTCAATCCCATGTCTCCCAATATCTTACCCCCACCACACACAGTGATGGATGCACACACAGACACACACATACACTCATTATTATTGTAGTTTAAAATTTTAGCCAAAACTGTTTCAATCAAGAACTAAACATTTTTTGTTGTTGTTATTTGTTTGTTTCTTTGTTTACTTGTTTTAGTTTTGCTATAGGGCGTGCGTGCTTCTTAGAGACAGAAACAGAGAGAAAGGGAAATTAAGAAATTACTCCTCAGAGGGGATGGCCATGCCTCAATCTCTTCTTCTCCATTCTTCTCTTGTGATTTTGGACATACACACACATTTCACCTGGCATGATTTTCAACCTGCTGGGTCCAGGACTCGAACTGAGAAGTAGCCATGTAGGATCCAGCATTTTAACCTCTGCATCATGCACTGGCCCCAGCTAGAACTATTATTGTACATTTTATTTTTCCAAGATTTCTTTGACAAATTTTACAGAACTAAACTGCAAGAAACAGGTCATCCAAAGGAAGTGTTAATGTACATAAGTCAGAGATAATTCAAGAGAAAGAGTACTTTAGAATTTAAATCTTCAAGCATTTTATTTATATCCCCTTCTGCCCTTAACTGAAACCTTATCTTTTAAGTAGCTAAAATACAGTAGCTGTTGTAAAGCTACCAGTGTTAATCACTTGAATAAATTGCACATCCTCCCTTTCCCCCATTGATTTCAAAATAAATCTCGTCTTAGTCTTTGTGAATATCCACTTTTAAATACAGTAGAGGGTATTTCACATATAATAATTGTCTCTCTTAAATCTAAACTACTTCATTTCAAGGTCTGAAAGAGAATGTTGGCCCATTCCTTTCCACTTAAATAAAGTATTTCAAATTGCACTACTTTAATAGTCTGTTTACCTGTACGAAAACAGTAAATAGGATAACAACAGTGGTTGCTGCAATGAAGAGCTTCTTTCTGGAAAACTCCGGGAGCAGGAAAACAAGAGAAAAGCCGATTGCTCCCCTCAGTCCCCCGTAGGCTATAATAAACTGGTCCTTTTTGGTGACTGTATTCACATGACATTTGTTCACGAAGAAAGTCAGCACAAGAACGCCTAAATTTTCCAATAATAATAAGAAGAGCTGAGTAATCAATCAACAGAAAGAAAATGTTACAAATGTATTGCAATATACTGGTCTTAAATTATACTGAAATTCTATTCTTTTTTTTTTCTGAGGAGTTTTTGTTATAGGGTGCATGTGCTCACCAGAAAGACAGAGAGAGACAGAGAGACAGAAAGCAAGCAATCACCCCC